AGACTTATAGAAATATAAGTCTTCTTATAGAAATATAAGTCTTTTCTATAAGAAGACTTATAGAAATATAAGTCTTCTACTTTTGACCAGTCTGTTCACGCGGTGATAAAGAAACTTATGGAAAAAATATGGAAAACAAAAAACAAACATATACAGTGGAAATAAAATATGCAACCGTGTATTACAACAACAAAATAACTGTAATGTCTGTCACTCCATTCAGCGACTGACAGTCAGTCCTCATAAATCCCCTCCTGCAGTAAAAGCAATGAAGAATCTATAGTCTTGCTTCCTCTTTACCTGAGCAGCTCCTCCATGTTCATTCAGATTTTGAATACTAGATGGACTCTTCACCTTACTGGTTTAAATGTTTGCCTACCAAGTGAAAACTCTCTGGTTTGATCCTGGGAGGAAACACAAATCCCTTTGAGGGATCTATCAGGAAGGACATCTGCTGTAAAAACCCTGCCAAGCCAAATATGCAGAGCTACCTGCTGTGGTGACCTCTTGTGACGAAGGAGGAGGCAGCTGAAAGTAGCTTCTCATGTCACATGCTATTTCATTTAAACATACATATTATACAGGCAGTAACTGTTCAAATGATTGACAGTTGTGCCTAATTATTTGCCTGAATGTGCTGAAACATGTGCAGACACTAACAAAGAAGGAGAAATGCTCAGTAGTAAAAAGTATACCCTAACAAGGATAAATGATGAGGCAGTATAGGAAATATAAACTCTTATGTCAACCTTTACTGGCTTGGCTTCCATTTAGAGCAGACTGATCTAGTGTGAACAATCCAATTGTTGGATAAGGCATTAGAAAGAAGTCACTGTGGTAAAGAAACCACAAAAAAGCAGGAAAATCAAGGTCAGACCCCTGGCTGTTATTAGGAAAAACAGCAGGGCCGTCCCAAGGAGACAAAATGTTACCACAAGTTTAACCATCCTGCGATATTTACATGAGCTGGAAACTAATTTAAATCTTTACAGATTTATGCAAATCAAAGTTTTTCCTAAAACAACATGCAAAATCCTTAAAAGGTTTGTGTTACTTCTGCACAGCAGAATTCAACACCTGGCAACACGTGGGTAAAAAAAAAAGTCAGTGATTCTGAAATAATTAAATAAATAAAGTAAATCCCTGAATTTTGACAGTAGTGGCCCAGGTGGAGGTATCAAGCATCACAAGCAAATATCAAATTTAAATATATTCTCTCTGTTTGACCTTTGACCCGTACTGTGACCTTAAATTTGTCCTTCCCAGTAGCAGAAAATGTGTAATGCTGCAGAGTAAAGTTGCGTGATTTTTTAAAAATATATTAAGTGACGTGACTCCGAGAGCGTGCACCAATGACATGCAAATTAAACATTTGCATTTTCACTGTTGGTGCCCTACATTGTTAAGTGATGAACTAAGTTTGGTTGTGGAGCTCTACAGAGAGACATGCAGCCAAGAAGAAGAAACCAACATGTCACGTTACATGTCATAACATTATCCCACCTAAACACAACATGCTGGTCTGGCCTGGCAGGCTGGAGCCCAGATAAATTTACCGTTAACAGACCCTTTGTGTGAACCGAACTTGAACAACGCTGCTTTGTATTGTGGTGTAATTTTGTCTCTACGTGGAACTGCTTTTTTAAATTTATTTTAAAATGTTACAACGTATGTAAGTGTGAAATGTAAAAAAGTTTAACATCGTGGGAAACCGCCAACATTTCATCTCTGAAAAAAAACTGCTGACCAGTGTTATAGTTTAATGCAGATAGTTTGTTTTGATAAACAGTTAAAGGTTTTTAAATTACAACCTTTTTCACATTACTTGCAATGTTTTGCTGCGTGTATGAGCTGATTGGGGAAATGCATCTTGTTTTACAAATGCTGTAAAAAAAAAAATGAGAGCAATTGAGAAAAACTTTCATTTCTAGCTTCAGTAGAATGAAATAAGAGCTGTAGTATGAACTGGCTAATTTCCCAAACCTACACCTCCACCTATTGGTCACTGTGGCAAACTCCTTCTCCAGACATGCCAGATTTGCCCGGAGCAGCATGGGCTTTCAAGCTGTGGCAGTTATCTTTCACTCGCATGATTAACTATGAGCTGTAGATGCACAACTGAGAAAAGTGTAGTATTTGGTTTGTATTCTTATAAAATCTTAGCAAAATAGCAGAAAAGACACTGAAATTTTCTACTGGAAATTCCAACCAATAATTATGTAACTATACTTTGAAATCATTTTCTTTTATTCTTTTCCATGTAAATTATTAAATTATTTAACCACTATTACTATTAGTAATAATGATGATGTAAAGTATTGTGATGTAAGTGCTAGCGAAGTAGTGAATATATATTGTGAGAAAGAAATATTTTGAAAAACTTGCCCCACATTAGAAGCCTCCAGCTCCTGGTGGGAGACAAAGCTGATGGAGGTAAGGTCCTGTGGGACTTAAACCAGACTGACAACCAGACATATTGGTGTTTGAGAAGGAGAAGCAGACCGCAGTGGTGATAAATGTGGCAATCCCAGCGGACAGCAACATCAGGAAGAAGCAGCACAAGAAAATAGAGGCATACCAGGGGCTGAAGGAACAGCTGGAGCAGATGTGGAAAGTGAAGTCCAAAGTGGTCCAAGTGGTAACATTAGCATTAGATGCTGTAACACCCTAAACTGGAAGAGTGACTTCAGAAGGCAAATGTGCCATAATTTCAGTAAACCTTCGTTGCTTTGCATGAAAACACAGACAAAGCACAGGAAAATGAACAAGTTCACGCGTGAAATGCGGATGGTTTGTTTTCACGCTGAGATTTGTTCAGAACACAGTCGGTGCTTTATAAAAAAGAAATGTTCAGCTATAGGGTCTTATTTGAAAATACAATGCTTACATGCGTTTTCTGTCATATATGCAGCTGTTTGACACATGCGCGTTTGAGTGACGGTAACGTCATGTAGAGGTGCTCCACGGTGACCAATGGAGGCTTCACGATCACTTTTATTTTACAGGTTTGTATGATTTTGACTCAGATAACCAGAACTGGAAAAAAAAATGTATTTAATGAGTTACCAGATTACTGTAGCTGCCGCACATGTTACTCCCAGCCTGTTATTTATGAGCCTTTCACGTTTTGAGCATTATTCTGTCATAGAAGGAGTAGCCGTAAAGGTCAGAGGTCATCCTCCTGGTACTGAAAGTGCCGCGTGCTTCCTGACCTGTGCTGTCTGGCGCTCTGTCGTCACAAACAAGGAAACCATGTTCGCGCTAACGCAGCGGTGCGTTCAGGTACTGTCAGAAAAGTGACCAACAGCTCTTTCAGGAAAACAGCTTCGCACGTGGTAGCGTGGCCGAGCGGTCTAAGGCGCTGGATTAAGGCTCCAGTCTCTTCGGGGGCGTGGGTTCGAATCCCACCGCTGCCAGACATTTTTCAAGTACACATAGAAAGCTGCAGTCAATGCACACAGAATATACTTTAAACATGTGGTCTTTACGCAACGTTTGTGAGCAGAACAACAACAGAATTAGGTGTGACAGTTGAGTTGATAGTGAAATCTGTATAATTTCAATAATTCAAGGATACTTGGCTCCTTTTAAAATGATGTAGAATAGTAATGGAATTAAAACAGCTTTTAATGAATTTAAAGTTTTACTAAAATTCAAATTCAAATTGAATGTAAGGGGATTTGCATAATGACTACTTTTATTTGTTTTATTATTATTATCATTTCATTTCATCCCACACTGGCAGCTACAGTTACTCATCTCCATTAACTGGAATCACTGAACAGTGACTTTTTGCTGTTAGTCTCTTTTACAGAATTTAGTGGAATTATCTGAAAAATGATTAGGCTTGTTATGCGCTATAGATGGTTCAAGGAGGGTGTGCTTCAGTTTTGGTGAGTAAATTCCTGTAGTTTTTGTCAATTGGCAGTAATACACACATGGTATAAATGTGTGTCGCGCACTGGTTTCTTAATTCTTGATGTGAAACATTGACTGGATTGTATCCACTGTGGCCCTGTTGATTGCCAAAATCCACATGTGACAAGTACATGCAGGTTTGTGAAACCATGCACTCACTGGCTGTGACTTGTGATTGACAAGTTAGCAAATGATTGTGTAGCTTTATACAGATCTATTTTGAAAGATAGATTGACTAAAAGCCAAAATAGGCTTCATTTTTTATTCAGTATAGCTCCAAATGAGTAACTGAGATCATAAATCAAGCATCAACGAGTTTACAGAGGTCAAGACAGGAAACTGTTTTCGTTTAGACTTCAATAGGACCTCAAGTATTTTTCCAACACAGCTGTCGCCATCTAGTGGTCTTCAGATGGAATGCAGGCTCAAGACACTTTCACAGTAGCTGATTTGCTATAGTTTACGCTTTTCTCCAGTGCCACTTTTCATGTAGTAGATGTATGTGAGGATACTGCACATGATGTTTAGGTTCTATATTTATTGTTTGCCTTAAAAAAAGTCTTAATTTCCGTTTAATTTTGAATTTTCGTTCTCAATTCAGTGTAAATTCACTTACTTTCCAGGGTGGGTTTGCTCATTTCAGTTCACCTTTATATTGTTTGAACATGTTAAGTGTTTGGCTTAAAAAAAAAAGATTATAGACGGTCGAGGTTTAGGAAGTTCAGATTAAATATTACACAAACACAACACTTAAAGTCATGTATACATCCAAGTCTAGATAAACATGCAGCAGAGGCTCCTGATGACCATATCAATAAATATTACAGCTAAGAGTTAAAAAACAACAACAACTTATTATTGAATTGAATGATTATTGAAGCTTTGTAAACAAACAATGTAGTTTAAATTCGTTTTCCATTTTATATTTTTATTTAAGTTAACATTTTTAGGTTTTAGTTTTGTTTTAAACCACTATAGTAAATAGGGTAGGGAGAGGAAAAGTATGGGTTAGGGTAACCCTAACCCAAAATAGTCTTCTTAAGACTATTTAAATCTATTTGGGGGCTAAGGGTGTCAGAAGTCCGAGGTGAGGTGGAACACGTGAACGCAGCATAGCTGGACGCGGCGGAGAGGAGAACAGAAAAGGGCAACGAAGCAGCCCGGATAATTCAGCCTCGCAGTCTTGGCGCCAATCCGACTTCAGAGGGAAATTAAACGGCTCGGTTTTCACTCACGTTGGAATCAAATTCGCAGCCGGTTGCTGCTTCTTTCAAAGCCTTCGGTCGTCTGCTGTAGCCAGCCAGCTAGCTTTGTTAGCACACTATCCATCATTGTCATATTCATCTGGCCCCCTTATTTCTGCCTGTAGTCACGATACTAATAACTCAGCAAAGCACCGGGACAATAGAGGTGTGTTTCTCCAGGGGGATCGAGCAGATACGGCAGCAAAATGGGGGTGAGTTGCATGTGTTTTTCCCCAAAAATATATATATGAAGCGAGGTGGCACAAAGAAAGGTTTTTAGCTCGTCAGTGGTTGATTAAGCAGAGGAGATATGAAAGAAAGAAAGAAGGATGGCAGGAGAGAGGGAAAGCGAGAAAGACCATGGTGGATGGATGTGGCTGAAGGTGCTGGTTTGGCTGTTAGCCGTCTAGCTGCCTAAACATAAACCCAGTAACATAGCATTGTAGCGTTAGCTCGAGCACACACATGGCTTTTTATGACGTTTTCAGCTGGGTTACTGCATCGTCCTTGGCGTTGCGCACACTTAACATGTCATGTGTGTTGTGACATTGTTAGCCCGCTAGCCTTGTTAGCTGTCGGGGAATGCCATTACAGCAAATGGCGAGTACGTTGCTAACCATTAATGCTAGTCACTTGTGTGTGTGTGTGCGTGCGCGCGCGCGCGCGTATGTATGTGTGTGTGTGTGTATATTTTCCAAACAGGCCAGGATGGGGGGTCTCTTTCCCACCTGGCCTTGGTTAATTCACACATGTTGGAAGTTGATAATATGAGCTACCTGTCTACACCAGCCAGGCCTGCACACACTCTGAAGCTGTAAAGCTGAGTTTATTAACTTTAGCTAGACTTGACTTTGTCCTTCTCTTTGGCTCCAGATAAACCAATCCACGTGTCCCCCCTTCCCCAGCTCAGTGTGCAGCCTCCCTGTGCTTGGTACAGAGTTAATGCTTGGAGCTAAAGTTGGCATTCCTTTTCATAATTGCTCAGCCCTGGAATGAAGGAATTCAGTTAATGCCTAGTTGTTTCTCCAGTGAAGCACCAATTCTGCACCCTAAACGCACCACGACCAACTCTAATAACTCATGGAGTCTTCCAACCAGGGCAATACACTAATACTACTTGTGATTGTTTGACTCAACCAGACAAATAAGTATCTAAATGGCATGGAGCCACAAAAAAATCACCACATCAGGTCCAGAGGATGGGTATAGGAACTGTTAAAGTGTCTAATCTCTCTGTTGCACAGCATAAACGCTATCAGGGTCATTTGTGTGAGTTATGGCTGCACCATCAATGCAGATGCTTTGGACATCAAACCAGGAGCAGGCTTAATGAGAGTAACGGTATCAGAGAAATTTCCCACGGGGAGCAGCACAGGCTATAGAAATACTATACCGCTGTAATGGCTTTAGAATGAAAGCATTTCAGAGAGACAATAATCACGTTATTAAGAGTAATAAGCTCTGCTTTTTCATTGTTTTCCAGGCCTTGATGTATTTTTGGAGCTTCGATCTTCCCGGATGTGCTCATGCGTAGTGTCTGAGGGTCGATCTGTTCTCTGATTGATTTGCCACGTGGCTTTGGGGTTGTAATTAAAACGTGTACAGCAGCACACGTCATTATTAAACAGAAATTCAAAGATCTGCTAATACTCAGATGAGTGGGAAAGACTGCACTCTACGTTTGATCGATTTTGTGTGTGTGTGTGTGTTGGCGAAAAAGTACAGTGGTATCCTCTGGCTACTACCTGCTTCTGTGTTTGTGGGCTCTGCTGCCACCAGGTTTCATCGTGATTTCTTGTGACCTGACAGGCTGTAGCTGCTGTGCCAGAATGCTGCATTACCTTGTCATTTCGTCAGCACAGGTTACACTCTTTGACAAGAGAAGATCGCTTCACCAGTAAAGAAGTGGTGAAAAATGGCTGGCACTGATCATGCGAAGCAGAGAAGGGAATAAATTAAGTGGTAAAAAAAAAAGGCAAAGGGTTATAGCACCTCTTTGTCTGTAGTGATCTCTGGATTTTGCATTTTTTGTGTGTCTGTGTCAGGGTGAAAAATGTCATTCTGATCCATCTGTAATTCACCAAATGTCCCCTGCTTTTTTTTCCTCTCCGTTCATTTTGTGTCTTCAGAGGAAGTCCAACAGAGCAAAGGAGAAGAAAGCGAGACGTCTGGAGGAGAGGGCAGCTATGGACGCCGTATGCGCCAAAGTAGACGCAGCCAATAAGGTACCTCAGTTGTGGATATGAGTGAAAAGGAGAAATCTTCTGCTGTGGCTTTGCACTGAAGTTAAAAATGCGCGGTTTGATTTTTGTCTCTCTCGCACGCTGTTCCATTGTAAGCTTAAGGCACGAAAAAAAAGAAGCTCGGGGATGCCCTCCTCACCCCGATTACAGCCTTAATTGATATGGGCATGACAGGAAAAGGCAAATACCGCACCATGTGTGCCTTTATGCATAATTAATCTGCATCATTAAATCCCCCACCCGTCTATTTGAATGCACGGCTCCTGCAGCTTGGAGGTTGGCTAGAGCGTTGGCAAACTGGAGGAAAACAGCTCGCACAACATGATCTGAGCTGCAGCAGCTTCCTCATTGGGATCATGATGGGTTTGGCTGGGTCGATTACTTTTGTGTCACTTTGTTTCAAAATGAGTTGCCCCCACTGTGGTGGATGTGATAACAGCAAAGGAATGCAAGAAAATCTCCTAAAGTGGACCATACTTTCACATGAATAAATGAGCAATTTAACTTGATTTTGAGGGTCCGTCTTTGGCCTTCATACTTAAATTCTCTGAGCCTGAGTGTCTGTGGTTTCGGCCCAGTGTGCCATAATCTGTCCAAGGATGAGAGTAGTCTTGATCTTCATAGTAACAAGGTGAAGCTGACCTTTTGTGTCATCGTGACTGACTAATGGACGTGTAGCCTGTCCTGCCCTTATTTGGCTTTTCAGGTCATTGAGTGTAAAGGCTGCTTAAAGGACATGACTGAATGGAGAAGAGTGCTGATAGTTTAGCGTTTTCTCATTCTGCCCTCTCTTCTCACAGCTCGAGGACCCCCTGGCCGCCTTCCCAGCCTTCAAAAAATACGACAGAAATGGGTACGCACTGCTTTGTACACCCGCAGAGGATTTATTCAGTATCCCGTTCCATGAAATTCATTCTTGTTTTGTGTTTTCCGCATGGAGGGAACAGCCGCTTTTCCCAGAGACACAGACTCATAAACTCACACGTTGACTTGTCCTCCCATTCCAGGCTGAACCTGCAGATAGAGTGCAAGAGAGTGACCGCGCTTAACCCGCTGTCTGTGGAGTGGGCTTTCGAACTCACAAGAGCCAACATGCAGACGCTGTAAGAAGTCTGTTCTCGCCTCCTCTCAGAGTTCGAAGTAGTTCAGGAACAGAGTGACCTATCTTTTTCAGAGCAGAGTGCAGATAGGCCAGAAATTCTTTTTGTGACATGAGATAAGGGCAGATGGCAAGATGTGGATCTGAGGCCATGAATTAAACGCAGAGTATAAAAAGAAGGTAGAGATTGAGTTACTGTATTTAATATTGTCTCATATTCAGTTTTAAACGGTATTTGTCCAGTTTAGAAAAATCTGAGAGCAAAGAATTCCAATTATTGTGCCATGCTCGAGTTCGTCTGCTGTCTTTCTGTTGCAGGTACGAGCAGAGTGAGTGGGGATGGAAGGAGAGGGAAAAGAGGGAGGAGATGAATGACGAGAGGGCTTGGTACCTGCTGGCTCGCGACGCCGACTCCTCCCCCGTGGCCTTCTCCCACTTCCGGTTCGACATAGAGTGCGGGGAGGAGGTTTTATATTGGTGAGGTACCCAGCCGTGTGTTTGTGGATTTCAGAAAAGATTTCAAATCTCGTTTCTGTTATTCTAAGTTTTATTTTTTTTAAATTTGCGCCTCTTTCTTCGCTCTGCAGCTATGAGGTGCAGTTAGAGAGCAGAGTGCGGAGGAAAGGGCTCGGCAAGTTTCTCATCCAGATACTCCAGCTCATCGCTAACAGGTAAAGAACTTCGGTTGTGTGACTATGGGAGGGAAGATTGTGGTGACTGTGAAGTTGGTTACAGGTGACCTACACTGAATGCAAACACAACTGGAGGATGTAACATCGCATTCACAGCACATTTATCATAACAAACAAATGCTAAAACATGGGCTACATCCATCCTTTATATACAGTCTATGATCACGTCTTCAGGTCACTTTACACTAAAGACAAGTGTTTCTTTTTTTGTCCTCTGTCCAGTACACAGATGAAGAAGGTGATGTTGACAGTTTTTAAACAGAACAAAGGGGCCTACCAGTTCTTCAGAGAAGCTTTACAGTGAGTATGCCGGCTCTTTAACGCTTAGGAAATATGGAGGGTTTAACTGTAATGAGACAAATGTTCAGCCTTTGAACGTGTAGTCTGGAGTATAATATAAGGTTACAATATAATATATGGACACTATATTATATTATTATGGAATATGATATAAGGTTAGTTGTCTGTGAAGCTTCTCAGTCGTCCAGGTCATCGTAGTCTGTAATGACCCCAAGAGGGTCATGGACCCCCTATTGATCCTCTACCTACTCACACGAGCCAAGGTGTGAAAACAGGTTTCGGGTGAAGCCATCACATGATAGGGTGGGGCTAGGTTTCACAATGGGTTCACCCGAAACCTTGGCTGATTGTGACCCACACCCTGACCCTCCCATAGGGTTTATAATCTGGGACTGTCCACCAATTGCTCTGAAGAAGCTTCTTGGAGGAGAGGTGAAACGTCTTCAAGAAACCTAATGAAGTCCAGACGCTTTTCTTTCCAAGCCTCTTAGAATATGCCGTGGTTCACAGCTCAGTATTAATGGCTCCACAGGTGTTGTGGGTTAGTCTCTTTCTCATGAAGTTGCTGTCTTAGATCAGAAAGGAACGGGCAAAGCTGGCAGTTCCCAAAAATGTATTTCTGGACATAATCCAGGAAGTTTAACTCTGAAAATTTAATACAAATGAAAGATGAAATCATAGAGAAATGTGGAACTTCTCTGGCCTTTATTCAATGTCGTAACACTGGAACAGAAGCAAAGATTGCAACCGGATTTCCCTTTTAGTCCCACACTGAACTGGTGACTTTCATTTTTAGTGTTCCTTATGTCATGATACCACAGTCAGTTTTGTTATGATCACTGCGCTGCAAACACGAGGACTGTTGAGGGTTATTATTGGGATAATGGAGACATCACGGCGCTGCCTTATTGAATTATCTTTTACTTTCTCTTTCGTGTGGGACAGGCGGGTCTTACAGTTATGGCGTCTTAATGTGATCGCCATCATTAGTGCATTAACACTCCAGGAAGTTCCCACTTATAAAGGTCACATACAGGCAGGAAACGGTCCTTCTTCGTCTGAAACCCGACTTCCTTCGGTCTCCCATTAACGAAGCTCGCCGTCTCCCCTCACCTCCAGGTTTGAGATCGATGAGACCTCACCGAGCATGTCCGGTTGCTGCGGCGACGACTGTTCTTACGAGATCCTGAGCAGGCGGACCAAGCACGGCGAGGCCTCGGCGGGACACACCCACGGGGGCGGACACTGCGGGGGCTGCTGCCACTGATCAGCTTCGGTTACGCCACGCGATTGGTTAAAAGCCAGCAACTTTAACCGGCTGCGTGCGAAAGCTTCAGCTGCCTGCTAGTCCACGAGTGGTTTTGAATTATGGAGGCCGACAGGTGGGAAAACCCACCTGCGCATTAAAAGCCGGCATCTCGATGCAGCGTGAGCTTTCGCACGCAGCCTTTTCTATGTTTTTGTTTTTGTTTGTTTGATTTGTTTTCCAGCCCCTCGGCTCATTGTCCAAATCATCTCTTCCCATTCTCATAACGCTGTTATTACCAGAACTGGTTTCCAGTCAAGAAAAAGCTGACGGTCTCCATCACGGAGACCGATCCTATCCCATGCAGCTCTCATCATCTCTGTGTTGCTATACTGTATTGGATCTGCTTCTTAAACTGTGGTTCGAGACCTAAAGTTGACTCTTGGCCTCGAGCTGTATTGAAGAAACTCCCCACTTGTGGTCTCTCAAGTGTAAAACGGGATTAGTTGAGTCTTGAAATCACAACTAAAACCATCCAAAATAAGCAGATAAAAATAACTCAGAGTTAGTCAGTTTCTACAATCCAGCTCGGGGTTTTTCTGGGGCCTTTGCACTGAGACGATTTGCTTGTTTCACTGCACCGGGGTCCTCGGATCAGGCTTCATGTGAGAGCCCGAGTTTAGGTCCTGGTTAAACCAGCACGAGAAGCGCCGTTGCACTGTAATATTATCTGTTCTGACTCTAGTTGTAAGTTATTCTGTAACAGAAGACACTGCAGCTAGCAGCAGCTGGCACGTGATACTGCTGTTACATGATTACAATACACCATCGGCACCACCCGCCTCCTCGATTCAGGTAAATGTATCGATGTCTCCCTCGCTTTTAATGCTTACAGCTTATCAAATGAGATTTCCAAGATTGCCTTTTTCTTTCGAGTCTCTCAGTAAAATATGTTAAAAAAATTTTTTTTCTCAACATCATCAGTTGCTGTAAATCTGCATCCGACTAAGTAAATATTCCCAGTGTGTCCCCACCTGTGTCATATCGCCTCATCAGAGATGCATGCTGTAACTGGATGCTTTTTCAGCTTCACAGAAGACATCTTTAGTTGTGAAAATTCATCATTTGACCTTTCAGCCTCCTTTTTTTTGAGTTTTTCCTGCTTCTTGACCTGCACCCACGGCTGCCACACAGTTCTCATTTTTACTGAGCTTTCGGATTTTTGTAGTACACCCGTTTCCCTCTTTGCTTTTAGTTTCTGACGACAAATCTGACGCTACTAGGCCTGTTTAAAAACAACTAAGTCCATCCTCCATTGCACTTCTTGCATATCTTGTGGATTTAAGGTGGAATAGCATCAACAGAGGTCACCGTTTGATCGTATAGCTGCTTGAAAATGACACGTGAATGGATGCAGATGAGGGTAACGGCAGCGCACTTGAGGGAGCTTTTTTTTTTTTTTTGCTTTTTAAATTGTTTGAGTTCTTCCACAGTCTTAACTTATTTTCCTGGCCCCCTCCTGTAAAATTAGGTATTTTTGGGGGGTGGGGGCGGGTGGAGTAAATCTAGTCTTAAATTAGGATTACGGACTAGTGGCTTCTAAAATTTAGGTCCACTGTGAGAAGCAGCATCTAAAATTCTCATGTTGGTCTAGGATAATCTTAATTCCCCACCTGTTCACAAAGCCTTTGATGTGTTTTTGGATTAAATTGCTGTTTTTAAAAAAATTTTGATTTAGAATTGAGATTGACTGCATTGAATGGGGTTCTGTTGTGCACATTTCCAGCTCCATGTGTCCTTTTTTCCTCTGGCTTTGCATGATTCAGTTAAAAATAATCCTTATTTATCCTATCCTGGCCTCTGGTGCAGTTTATTTTATCCACCGTCTCAAATGAGCTGTTACAGCTCCTGTCCCTTTAAGACAGCTGTCCTCTCATTGGCTATCCCTGACAAACTGATGGTTTCAATTGTCATCTATATTAAGGCTCGCCTTGACATCGCACAAAGCCAGGAGTAGATAAACATGTCTGAAACAGTGCTTCTGTGTTAAACTCTGAGTTTTTTGGTTCACAGAGAGGACGTGTACATATGCTGGATCCACTACTGTAACAGCACACCAATGACAGACAATAATGGAAATAATAATGAAAAGCCTGCTACAAGTACGTGGAGTTAGAGGCTGTTATGTGAAGTAGACACTTGGTGTAAATGCTTGGTACTAAAATAATCTGGTACCAAAAAAAAAAAGGGTTTGAGGAGAAAAATCTTACGGGATCCTGGGATGAAAGCTTTGGTTGTTTCCTGCTAAACGTACATTCTGCACCTGGAAACATGGTGGTTTTTCTTGCTTGGTTGAACTCTGAGGAACAGAAACAACTAAACATGCTTGTTTGCGGGGACTAGACTATCTGATTGAATAGTACAGTAAAAAAAATTTGTACTTCATATGTTACAATTTCAAAAAAAGAGGATGTTGTACATAGAGGTAGGAGATCGATGGACTGACAGTCTCTCTCAGGTTAATCAAACATAATCAAACCTCATCTGTTGTACTTAACAGCCACGCTGTCAGTCAGTCAGCCGCTGGCTGGATTGGATTGACCCACAGCTCAGTCTTGTTACCATCCTGTTTAAAGAAACAACCGGAAAGTAGTCCTGGTATTCAGGAGGAGATTTTTGTTTAGTTTTATTCTATTCTTTGAAAATGTGAAGTTGCATGAAAGTAAATGTAACCAAGTTTGAACAGAGACTGGATCTGCACTCGGTGGTCATATTCAATCCAGGCATGTGGGCAGTTAAAACAAATAATCATAAAGAATTTAAAAAGGCTCACTGGGAATAAAAATTAAAATAAAATAAAAAAAAATCTTATGTGAAAATGTAATTTTTGGAAATGAGCCTGAATTTAATTTACTTTGAAGTCAGTGAGGACTTAATTTTTTTTTTTTTTTTTTTTAATGGTTCCAGATACAAAAAATTCCAGATACTGCTTTTGGTCTTTTCTCAACATGTATATAAATATATATAAATATATAAGCTGTTGTGGATCCATCTTCATTTCTTGGCCTTTTACAGAAGAAACACTTTTTTAAACATGATGTTAATAAAAGGCAAAAAAAAAACAAAACCTCGGTGTTTGAGAGTGAGTGTTCCAGTCCTGTCCGTAAATGACAATGAAAGGGAAAACTAAGTCATTCTGCCTTGTCAGTGTTTTATGTTACAAATAATGTTACGAATAAAGGAAAGTTGTTTGACTTTTCAAGAAATGCCTCCTTTTTTCTTTTTTTTTTTTTTTTTAAACATAAGTGAATTTCCATCAGGAAAAGAGGATATGTATGGAAAGGTTTAATATATTTTGTATTTTTCTTTTTATAGGTAATTTTTCAGATTTTCATTATGCTGTTGTTACACATGTAGCTGCGTCAAAATGTGTTAGGGTTGCCGATTTGCCTGTATAGACCATTCACTAATGCTTAACATATAAGTGTGGTGTATATTGCCAACATATAGAACGCACTGTGGAGTGATTTAAAACAATATGTTAAATTTGACCTCTGACCTCTCCTCCAAAGTCAGTAGAACTAAAGGTCAAATAATTGTTTTTTTTTAGTTTCTTCCTATCACTGTTTCTACTGACAACATACAGGTACATATGGAATTTTATATATTGGGATTCAAAATATTTAAATTATAATTTGCATTCAAATACGATGGCACATTTGACCTCTGACCTCGCTGTTCTAGCTTTCAAGTTGACCCTAAAATGCAACCTTTAAAGAAAAAATCCTCTAACGAAAGTACTGTCAAGAGAATGAGCTGCCTATGTGAACCTCCTTTTGAATATTTTAAAAAATATTTGTTTTATCAAAATGAGTGATAATTAATTTGATAAGTACTTTCTTTTTTCTTTAATTTTTACGCTGCACAGATTTCTGTGCCGCTTCTGGAACTGTCTGTGTGGCTGTAAATGTTTCGAGGGGGATTCCTTTTCGCGTCGCACAGAAACCGGACGCTGTTGGTACATTAGCTGCAGAAAAAATGTCATAGTTGAGCCGAATGAATGGATGCTGTGAGGTGCCTTTGCTCACATCTGTCCAAAATGACATGAAGCTCTGAGCTTCCATCGCTCAGCTCCGCCGATTGTCGCCTCCGGTAAGAAAAAAAAGAAAAAGAAAAAAATGGGAATGTTTGTGCTTGTCTGGTTAATGCAGCTTAGCTTCCACTGGTTTATCATTGAGTTCAATTTAGATTCATGTTATTCGACCTCGTCGGGAGTTAGGCCACACTGACCCGTGCACAGCTTCAACTTTTCCTCACTTAGCTTCTCAGAAACGTCCCGCTGCATGGGGATGCTTTCCCTCTTAGCTTGTTAGCAAGCTAAATGTTGCTTGTGTCAAATTGGGTACATTTGAACTCAGTTTAGCTCCTCGGTTACAGCCTGCACAACTTCATCAGAACATAAACAACTGGATTAATAAGAAAAGCGTGAACAAGTTGCACTTTCTGTCAACTTTCAGCTAGTCAGGGCACCATGGCAACGAGGATGAAGCTAAAGCTGAAGACTGTATTTTTGCTCTACTTCATGGTCTCGCTCCTGGGCCTCATCTATGCACTGATGCAGCTCGGTAAGTAAATCCTACCTATGAGCAGAATGAATAATGGTATAAATATTTCAGCATCAGCAGGTGTAAAGGAGTCAAAAATGTGCAAACCTGAGTGGCAGAGCTTCACTTTGATTTGTTTGTGCAGGCCAGCGCTGTGACTGTACAGAACATGACTTCCCTAAAGACCGCACCATATCTCGGCTGCGTGGGGAACTACACCGTCTTCAGGAGGAGATGAGGAAGTTTGAAGTAACAAAGCAACCTCAGAGGCAGCCAGCCAAACCGTCCCTGCCCACCATCTTTGTTATCACGCCGACATATGCAAGGTAGTCTTCCAAGCGACCGTTGCTTGGTGTCCACCCTCCGCTGTGCATTCCTGCACTGATCTCACCCTCTCTCCGATTTCCATCTGTTTTCAGGCTGGTGCAGAAGGCCGAGCTGACTCGTATGTCCCAGACTTTTCTCCATGTCCCTCGGCTCCACTGGATCTTGGTGGAGGACTCGCCACACAAGACGCCTCTGGTGACCGACCTGCTGATGAAGAGCGGCCTGACCTACACTCACCTACACATGCCCACCGCCAAGGACCGCAAACTACAGGAGGTTCGTTCAATTTTATTTTATTTTTGTCTTATCCATGCATGTTCTTGCAATTTTTTTTGTTCCTTATTTAAAAACACTGAGTCATTCTCCTGCTCAGGGTGACCCCAGCTGGCTCAAGCCCCGTGGAGTGGAGCAGAGAAACGAAGGGCTACGGTGGCTTAGAGAGGACAGGAGGGCTCAGCCAGGAGGGGATAACCAGCAAGGAGTGGTGTACTTTGCTGATGACGATAACACATACAGCCTGCAGTTGTTTGAGGAGGTGGGATATTTAAGTGTGTGACTATGTTTATTTCTTTCACTATTAGGCTTATTGCTGATGCCTGCGAACAAATGTCCTCTTTTCCTCAGATGAGGAGCACACAGCGGGTGTCAGTTTGGCCGGTGGGCCTGGTTGGAGGGATGAAGTATGAGAGGCCTGTGGTTGAAGGAGGAAAGGTAAGGTCACTGACATTTTGCCATGCTGCTGTTTTTAAAGATGCAAAAATCCCCTGCATCTAACTGCACCTAAGAGCTAAGCTTTTCAGCTTTTTCATCTGATCTAAAATACTGAGATCATATTTACGATGGTTTGTTTAAGGTCGTTCGCTTCCATACCGGCTGGCGTCCCAGTCGGCCCTTTCCGATCGACATGGCTGGCTTCGCCGTTTCCCTTAAATTGGTCCTGGCCAATCCAGAGGCATGCTTTGACGGAGAGGCACCAATGGGCTTGCTGGAAAGCAGCTTTCTTCAGGGACTGGTTACCATGGATGAACTGGAGCCCAAAGCAGACAACTGCACTAAAGTACGTGTGTGTTAAGAGATAAGAATGAAGACTTGTCTATAATTATTTTAGAACAGATGATTCAGTGTGAAATGCTTTGTTCTGAAGTCTTCAGTCTTTTCTCTTTATGATTTATGGAAATCGCAGAAAAAGAGACCTTTAAGAAAGAAGTGTTCGTGCATTTGGCATTTGCAGTAGTTGCATTACGATTCTAGTAACAGTTTATATATAAGGTCACGTGTAGTAATAGTGTGTTTGTGTGCTTTGCAGGTGCTGGTGTGGCACACACGGACAGAGAAACCGAAGATGAAGAGAGAGGAGGCGCTGCAGGCTCAGGGACTGGGTTCAGACCCTGCTGTGGAGGTCTGAGGGACACGCATGCACATCAACACACACTCACACACACATGCGCACACAGTGTGTGATTATATTCTGCTGTTAATGCTGCATACGTAACTGCATTGTAAATACTGTAAACACTAAAGTACAGGAGAGAACCTGGTTTTGAGAGACTGTTACACCCGGTTGTACATATAGATGTGTATCGAGTGTGTGTTTTGTCATAACTGTGCTGATTGTATGTTAGTGTGTGCGTCTTTTTCGTTTTTGAGTTTGCGATCCTTGTTTAGCAGTACAGTCAGTGTCAATGTTAAACTACTACCTGATGGGGGCGCCAGTGTATTAGTTTGTGAAGCCTTGCTGCTGGAGCACTGCGGCTTAAAACTGGAGGGAGGGTGCGTCTCATAGCAGGGTCGTCTTGTATCACTTCTGTTTACTCGTAGCTCAGTTAGACGCCTGTGATGTTTCCCGTTCCCGGCAGCAGTTAGATGTTTTTATCAGGGGCTGGAGGTATAAATGATGTGACAGGCAGAAACCGTGTATATACCTTTTCCAAAACATGGAGTGGTATTTTAAAAAGAAGGATTTGGTTTTTTATTTCATTATTTTTAAATAGTGAGTTGAGCCAATATGATGATGAAGAAAGAAGGGGGAAATGCAGACAACCAAGCTTGTCATTTTTTGTGAGTGTCTCATTCACAAACTGCCTTGTAGGGGGAAAAATTACTAAATTTTATCATTATTGTTAGATGATCATAAATGTTTGTGGCTTCATGTTATTGTGGGGAAAACCTTTGCCTAGCATGCCAAAGATCCCCGGATTGGGACTAGGAGGTGACACAAATGCAGCGTCGGGGTAGAACAAGTCAGTGTACTCCTATTAGCAGTCCCAAGGGTTAAGTCTGCAAGGGTGACCCCATGGGAAGTAAGGGAGCAGCTCAAAGGACCCTCGTGTACATTTCAGTAGTGCAGGTGTGATAATGAAGTACGAAAGGTTACTTTGAAGGTGTTGGACTGTTTATTACCCCAGTTTTGCTCACACAGCAGATTTGGGCTGGTGATGATTTCAGAACACATTTATCTTTTTTTCAATTCTGGGTCTGAATTGTATGTTTAGTGATACTGAGCTGCTTATTTGAGCTCATGTCTAAGCGTTTTGTGCAAACTGTTATTTTTATATACAAATGATTAACAAGGGAAGCGTCTACTAGACTCTGACAGATACAGGACATTTGTGGTAGATACCGATATTTAGGGGGTTTAAAGCAAAAACGTGATACTGATATCTAGAGTATGTCAGTCACATGGATATAATGTGTACCCTGGTTTAGCAGTGCAGCCTTCAGTGTCGTTCCAGTTTTCAGGCCAAGGATCAGTTACAACTGTGCACTTAGTTCATGCATGGCTTCTGATTTTTGTGTTTGTAAGTCAATATTCAGGATGTAGATCCTTTTTCTTTTCTTTTTTTTCTTTTTACCCCTGAAAACAAGTCATCAGCATCAAAGCAATGTCAATAATCTTTACTCAAACTTTAATAACAATGTCTAGGATTAAGCATTGTAGAGCCAAGGCAGTGAATACTTACTACGTCTTTTTTTTAACAATAAAAATATCCATGACTGAGACGGTGCTCTCTAAACACGCCGAGCAGTGAACAAACCCCACGGACGACTTGCTGTTGCGTCTTTATTAAGCCCTCAACAACCCGTGTTGCAGACAAAGTGGTGCAACTTAGCAACACGGGCACGACAAACACCCGCGTAATGGTTCCACACCCAACGCACAAGTTCTGGGTTGTAACTGGTGTCATCACACCACAGCTAGTTTAACCCAGTGTTTTGTGAGCAGCTTTAGTGATGCTTTTTAAAAACCACGCTCAAAGTGGAAACCATTTAAGGCAGTGATTAAACAAACATCTGTGCTGAAGCGCATATAAACGAGTTATGCAATAAACAAACGTGTTACATTTCGACACTGCTGCGATCAGAAAAACACTTGAATTTGTCTCCAGCGGGCAGGAAATCCCTGGTACTTAAAGATTGCCGAATATGGAAACTCGAGCTGTGCTTCGTCATCTTCCACACTCCCTGCAATGCAACAGACGCTGTAAAAACAGCTAGTGCCTGCTTACGTGTAATTAGTGCCTGTAAGTAACTTCTCTACTGGTGTATAACGTATTTATTACTGTTCTTTACATTGTACAGTGTGATCATGTCTGTCCCTGGCCTTGGAAATAAAAGTAATGAAAAACACGTTTTGTCACTTTCGTTTGTCTCCAGTTCTTTTGAACTTAAGTGAAGCTTTTTTTGTCTTTAAAATTAGTTTGTTTTTTTTAAACAGCAGTTATATTGAAAATCATGGAGGTAGTCTGCGGTGAGACAGGCTTTTGCGGCGTTTAACCTTTGCTGCCTGCAGCAACTTGACACACCGCATTCATTGTGCACATCTGTTCTCTGAGCGTGTCACTTTCAGTAGTCAAGCTGTGATATATGACTTGGTCCCTCTCCTCTGACCTGTCACGCAGCGTGTCTGTTATTTTTATCACGTTGTCTGCACCTAGCATCGTCTATAACGCCGTCTTCCAGCCGGATGTTCTGCACATTCACCACATCCTTACCTCACCGTCCAGATACCGAGCCCCAACTTGTCTGTGCCTGACAGCGACCATTGCAACCTGCTCAGTCATGGGTGATTACTCTCTCGTGGGCGGGGATTCTCTAACCTCGGAACAGCTGAAGTTGCGTGATTGACAGCTGGTGCGCCCTCTCTAAGGGGAAGCGGCCCACTTGGTGACTATATTTGGAGCGTGTGGAGGTGTACTCGCGGAGGGACTCCAAGATGAAGATGCAGTGGGAGATGAGTAAGAGGAGCTGAAGTCAGAGCTACATGCACGCCACTGTTGGTCCTCGATGAGTCACAAGTGCAGCTGCACGAACACGCAGTAGACGATATTAGTGGTGATACTGAAAGAAGTTGTATTATTACCTGTAAAAGTATGAGCTTCACTGTCATGAATAACACATCATTAAACTCCTTTTAATCTGTGTGTGTTCCTGATGGTGTGTCATCACAGCTGCAGAGGAACCCTCTGCATGCGTTTACATGAAGGTGCACAAAGGGCTATTAAATGTGACACGGGCAAAAAAGCAGGCATTGACTGACACACACACACACAGAGGTAAACAGCTCCCACTCCCAGTCCCACCCAGACCAAGTGTTCACTGTGCAAACACTACCATATCATTGACCAGGCTAACTGATTTTAATCTGTATACACACATTCCTACTCCAGGGTTTACCTGCATTAGAAGTTAACAGTTCAGGGTGTTACACTGACTCGCGTGTGGTTTTTAAATGTCTTCTTGTGGCGAGCAAATCAAGGATGCAACCAATTACGGGAGGTTTTGTGCAAGATTTGCAGAGAGATTAATGCGTTAGTTGTGTTTGGATGAATGTATCTGTGTTTTGAGAGAATAACATGTTTCACAGGAACGCCTTCAATTTGAATCACAACCAAGATTCGTGCAAGAGTGGAAAAACTATAGTTGTTCTCTACATATCAGTCAGTCTAGTTTAGGCCATTCAACAGGCCTAGTTGTCCTAGGGTGAGGCACAGGGTACACCCTGGACAGGTCCCAGCCTGTCACAGGACCAACACAGGAACTGACAACCGTTCACACCTATGGCTAATTTAGAATGACCAATTGACCCACTAACTGTCTTTTGACTACAAGAATAAGCCAGAGTACCCGGAGAGAAACCATGCAGACACGAGGAGAAAATGCAAACTCCACACAGACAGGCTGCAGGTGGATTTGGACCCAAGACCTTGCTAGCCAAGATAAGCACACTGATAAGAAATAGTTACAATCTTTCAAGGACTCCTGGGGCACCAGAAACTTCTACTGATCCACCTGAGGCTTCACCTAAGAACCTGTTTCAGACACTGTTCAGCCAAAGGCCAGCCAGCAGACTTCTGATTTTAGTAGGCATTTCCCATCCAAATTCAGGAGGCCTCTGGCATATCTGGAAGACTGTTTTCTCGCAGAGCTAGGAATGTGGGATCGTAGTCTGATATCGACGTATGGCACCGTTTTATGTTCAGACCATCTAAAAGGTCTCTGACACTGGCTTTGGTCTTCCTGTGGATCGTTTGACTCGTTTTGACGCATAGATTTGAAGTGCGATTGTGTCAATGCCGAGTGTTTGCAGACGAGTCGACGTCTTTCGTACGAGCTGCAGATGGCAGTCTGCTAGAAATCCGAGCACAGTGAGGTCTTTGGTGCAACACCCTCTTTGTGTTCATCGTGTAACTAAAGAACAGGGATGGCTACTGAATCCAGTTCATGCCACATTTGTATGCTTTGAAAGCGTTTGGTGGGATTGTCTGCACTGAAACGACACCTCCCTAAGTATTGCAAGTGTCCTGCATCGACCGCGTTTTCTCTTGTTAATGCACTTTAATTTGTGAAGCTCTTTCTTTCATTAAAACTTTCATTAGAATGTGACCAATTATTTGCCTTGTGGAGAGAGGACAAGGCCAAACAAATCATTGATCTTTGGGCGTGCTTGTCCAAATTTGACCAGAGAAGAGCACGGCATACCCTCCACGACACTAAGTTAGACGTCCAGGGGGATTCAGGGCTACATCAACATCTATTGTGCCATCTGTGAAGAGAACAAAAAGCTACGTACGTTTTAAGGGAGTAAAACAATACTGCCGTTGTAGAAATACCAGTGATAAATCAGTGCATCCACCGGTGCTCAGTGGAAACAACAGCAAATGTTAAATTGGCAAACTTCACCTTCAAAAAGTCAACAAACCCTCAAGACAGCAAGTTACTGATGTGTAGCACAGATCAGCTCTTTCACTGTGATTTTTGATTCATTCGAAAACAGAGAAGCTATAAAAATGTTTTTATGTTCTCATGCTATTCAGCAGAACTAAAAGATTCATATAAAACTATTAATCGAATAATAAATTATGGTGTGACTGAGTGAATTAGCTCCAGCTGTGGTGTACAATTCAATGACTAAACAATTACACAGTCTGAAATGTTTGTTAATACAGAACATGTGTACTTTTACTCCAGAAAAGGTTTATGTACAACTACATTACCATTACCACTTTTCTATGTATAGGATTTATGGCAGGATACCTCTTCCCTGTGTTTCCCTGTGTTCTGTAGCTCCACAGCTGGAGACCAGAGTGATGAATCTACAACAGACATAACTAAAGCTAACCTGCTGGTTAGCTGCACAGAGCTGCACCCACAATTCACAAAAATTAGCCCACCTAGCATGCAGCAGCTATAAGTTATAAGACCCTTTAGATCTGCACAAAGTGAAAGAAACAAACGTAACTGTTTTATCAGATCAGGTCAGACTAGTGATGGCTAAATGAGGCCTCACGGAGTGTGCGCTACATGACCCTTACCGTGTTTACACCGTCTTGGTGTGTTGCTTAATAGCGACATCTGCTGGGTTTAAAAATCATTGCAGGCACGCTGGATAAATTCATTCATTCAGGTCAGAATGGTACATAAATGTTATATTCCTGATGTTAACAACACATTCTGTGAAGAAGTGATCTGGTGATCCTTATTTCGCCCTTATGGCCTAACATGCCACTCCACTGGCAAATGGATACAGTCCAGCTGATCTTCTCATGGGAAGAAGGATAAGGACAACTATTCCTGTCATTCCATCACAGCTAATAATAAGCTAACAAACTTACAGACAAAAACAGAGACAAAACTGCAACCGCAGACACAGACCACATGACAGGCAGCCTGGATAAAAAGTGTGGAGAGAAACTGAAGTCAGTTGATTCGTTCTGATATCTGGACACCGAGCGAGTGACGAATTGTCCTGTTAACGTAACCAGCTGATGATAAAGTGCTAACTGAATGAAAGAAAAATGTATATTCCAAATAATTAGATTATAAAATGATCGATTAATGCAGTATGTAAATGGTTTTTGTACTTTGGACAGGTCGCCAGACTGTCACAGGGCTAACATTTAACCCAACCTCACTAATTACATGTTGTTGGACTGTGGGGGGAAGTCCTGGTATCCAGAGTAGTATCCAGAAAGTTAACAGACTGTTCAGGTAAGCCTCTCCAGGACCAACAGGATATACAGAGTCCCCACTGTATGTTGGTGTAATGCATAAGAGTGCAATAACTGAGCTCACAGGCAGAATAAAGTTGATAGAGTTTTTATAAAAGGTTAATCTATAAAGAGCTGTTTAAAACAAAGTATGAGGTAAATCAGAGATTGAATGATCATAGTTTCTAAGTCATAAGGCTTCGTGTCCATCTCGGACCAATAAATCATTTATTTGACCATGGAGAGCTTGGTGCATTGAGCACTGAAGGCACAACTTTGTTGACTCGACCCACCGCTGCATCCCTGCAAATCCTCTATAGCTGGATCCCGCGAGTTTACCCAGCAAAGGTAGGACGTGCGCTGCTGCTGCTGAGATTTTTTTTCAGTAAGTTAATATTTGACCTGTTTAATACATGGCTTTATCTCTAAGTCAGTGTGTGTTCAAGGATGTAATGACAAGGTGTGTGTGTAGGTGGAGAGAGGGAGAGTGTTTTACAGCGTGTGTGTGTGTTCGTACCAGTGACGAAGACTCTGCAGGTCTGGGCAGGGTTGGCGTGTGACGTGTATGAGGGCAATAAGCAGCGCTCCCGGCTCCGTGTCACTCACTCAGACTCACACACCGAGAGGGGAACGAGACGAGAGCGAGAGATCTGGTAAGGCTGCAACTATTTCTTCACCTGTTGAAGGCGTTACTGTTTAATATGTGGTAGCAGGCGTTTCTGTTCACTCCTGTTTAATGCTCTCACTGTTGGGCTGCTTCTCAGCCCTGTTTAATTTTTAACACTTTAATTAAGTCATCCTTTTTTTTTTTATTCGCCTCCTATTACACAACACCTTTCAGTCTTTATTTTGCAATCTGCACATTATATGAAACGTTACCTGCACTTCGCAAGTCTTCGAGATTTCCAGGACGCCGTTTGTCAGAGCACAGAGGGAAGCTTTTTCGTTTCCTCTTCTGTTTGCCACCCTTGTAACAATCCAAAGTCTTCATTTGTTTTAAAAAACAAAGCTGATCTGGAAAGGACACCAAATATGTCTGCAGTTTCTGGTTATTAGCAGGAAGTGTACTCCTTCAGAGGAGCATTAGTGTGGACTTTGTTGTTATGTAACTTGCGGTGAAACGGTTTACAAGGTGATCGCAGAGGGGAGGGGAAGCGATCTTGCACTTTTTCACTGCAGGGTCAAAACCCCTGAGTACGTCTCATTTCTACCAGCAGCGCAATCAGTGATGTCACAGCGGCTGATTTCTTGCCTCATCCTGGACTAACACACATGTTTGTTTGGCCGCTTTTCTTTTATTAATTAAAAGTGTCCCACCAGGCGGAGAGTGCAAGCGAAGCTTTTGCTGCAGTTGCAATTCTGCCCAAAAGGGCAGTCGAGCGAGCAGTGATCATTGAGGGCCTCAAAGAGGAGCGCTCTGAGTGACGCTCGTTGATTGTGTGGCTTGCATTGTAATCACTGTGACACACAGATCAGTCCACTGATCATAAAGTAGAGGTCAGAGGTCAAATGTGACATGGTATTTAAGATGTTATAAGGAAGTTCCAATATGTTGGCAACAGTTTCTAATAGGGCTGCGTTAACGTGGTTAATGATTAACGCGATTAAAATGGACGAACTGCCCAAAAGGCGTTGACAGAGACATTTCAGGGATTTTGAGTCAGTCTGCGCTCCAGATGGGTTAATTGTTAATCGCGTTAGTCGTAATGACAGCATTAACGCGTTTAAGCCGCATTAACGTGTTAACGGCGAGTAACCCCTTACACGGATTGATCTGCGTTAACTCGTTAACGTGGATTAGCCTGTTTTAACGCGCTAACGCGGATCAGTCGTGCCAACGCCACCGGCACATAACCTCGTTGGTGGAGGTAATAATGCTGCTCTTCCTGCACAGGGAGTGGAGCAGTCATCAGCCGCTCCAACACAGCCAGAATATAAGGAACTCATCTAAACAACACTGTGCTTACACGGGACCCCTGAAAAACACATGCCGATGTTTGAAGCAGATTGTATGACTGACTTTCAGAACAGGTGGAGAATGGACAGACAAGCAGGTCGCTGACACCGACAGTTAGTCTGAAGTCATTGATTTTGGCTGCACATCCGGCTGTCCGACTCCCTGTGTGTTTATCTTCAGCGCTAAGAATGCTGCGCGTTCAGTTTTTTGACATCTGTTATCATCACAACCCCGATAACATTGACTCTGACCTCCAGCCTCGGTCACGGCCACCGATATTCAAACACAGACATTCTTGTGACGCCTGCATAGCATTTCTGTTGTACAGTACTTACCATCCAGAGAGGCTGATAAAACACACACATACTCACATTGATGTGAAAAGTAATTATCTTTCGTCTATGGTCTTTTACGCTTTTTCCTTCAGCTTTTATCTCCTATCACTGTTCTTGAAATTTTGGCTGCCTGTATGGAAATGGATCAGACTGTGCGTTTGACAGAGGGCAGTGTTATGTAACAGCTTTAAACTCTAATCTCTCCTCTCTCAGCAGGAACAAACCAGGAGCAGAAAGAGTGTGTGAGAAAGTGCACCAGAGGCCAAAAGAAGTAACAGACAGAAACTCGAAGAAACTCCAACAAAAAGATGGCTATTGGCAGGAACTCCAGGATGAGCTCAGTCCGAAGCTCCATCAGGGCCCCAAAGTTTCTGGATAAATCGAGTGGCTTCTACGGTCGCCTCGACGAGCCCGAGGCCGCCACAGAGGTAGAGGAGACTGGTGTAAATGTTTGCAACATAGAGGAGGGAGTCTCGAGTGACCCATCCATCACAGCGGTGCATTGTTCTGATGAGAAGGAAGAAGGCGAGGTGTTTGGCTTCAGCGAAGGCATGATGGAAGATGACGACGAGAGCCTCCTGAGGAGGAAACCCAGCCGCCGCAGCAGCAGGTGGAGAAGAAGCTCCAGGAGGAAGCAGAAAGAGGGGAGAGCAGACGAGGACGCAGCCAGAGAGGAGAGGCCCAGCCTGGGCACGGAGGGTCCGGCTGACTTCTCCGAGGACATCAGGGTGAAGATTGAGATAGAGATGGAGAACCTGAAGAAGGTGGAGGAAGAAAATGAAAAGGCGGGCTGGGAGAAGGAACCCGTGCTCGTTCACTTCCCGGCTCGGGAGGACGCTGACGACCAAGTCCTTATCCGAGACAAGAAGAGAGGAAGAGAAGACGAAGAGGAGGAGGAGAGGAGGATGACGAAGGAGCAAGAGGAAGGGATGAAAGTGGTGAAGAGGAAAAATTACCGCAAGGTGAGAGAAAATGTGCGGTGTTGTTTTAGGCTGCAGACTTGTATCAACTTCCTCTTCAGTTTGTCACATTTACATAAACTCCGTATTTAGCTTCGCTGCGTCGGGTTAAACTTTAAGCCGAAGCTGAAGGTTGTGTAACTGCACGCCCAGCATGTGTGGAACAGAGGGGTAAAGTTCTCCCTCGCCATCCTCCACGTAATGCACTCTGGGTTATTAACTGCCATGGAAACTATCATATCACCTTTATAACATGTTGCCACTGCGCGTCCAAGGTCCAGCGGCCACTGGTGCGTGTCACGGCACATGAAGTCACCCCCAAATGAGTTTTTCCTCTACGTCATTTTTAATGACGAAAAATTAAGCAGGTTATTGTAAAGAATTTCTGCTCCTGCTGACACACACACACACACACACACACACACACACACACACACACACACAGGTGACATTCCTGTGGCTCCTCTATCATGTCCTTTGATCAGTGGAACGAGGTCAGGTGATGCTGACCCGCCTGCTAAACCCCACACCGTGAGAAAACATTCCAGTGCTGTTAATCAGCTCCGCTCTGCAGACGATTGGTTGGTTTCTGCTCAGTGTGCGGCGCTGGTTAAATATTTAGTCATGAGTTACCACAGCACAACCTGTTTCCAGTGAGCTCATTATTTTCCAGATGGACTTTTAGACAATAATAAAGCTCATTGGTTCTTTTTATAGAAAAGGTCAATAGCGTGTCTCTTGGAATTTCCCAGGAAGCAGCCGTGCTGCGACACAACAGAAACATTCATTAATTTGTATACTGAGCACAGGAATTCCAGTGAACTCCAGGAAAAATCCTTTTATTCCGTGCACAAGAAATGAGCCTAGAGCAGGATAATGTCAAACATTAACATTCAACATATGTAAAAATTCAAAGAAAAACTTCCAGTAACACATTTATATTAAGCAAATGGCTACTTCCTGGTGTTTATTACTATTTTACCCGTTTAATGAAGCGCTTGGCCAATTTAAATTCAGCATCTAAGTACAAACTCAATTCAAGACTGAAGAGCTCAGTCACAAAACAGCTTCATGGACCTGCTTTGATTATTGACTCATTATCGACACAAGAGCCCTGAGGTCTCCTGTGGTGGGATCCTTTGGGTCCTAGCAGTTGGTGTTTGCTCCATTGTTTCACACATGCTCGATCGGACTGTGATGTAGAGTTTCGAGGGCGCTCGAGCAGCTGTGTCACATTCCCTGAGGTGTTGCTGAGCTGTTTTGTCTGTGATGCAATGTCCTGCTAGGGGGGACTGCTGCCATGGGGGAGTGCCTTTATCATTGTAACATTGTAACTACATCTGAGGTTCTTCTTTTCACCTGTCAGTGGCTATAATGTAGCTAACCCTTACTCCTCCTGTTCCCACCAGGCCTTGGACCGAGCACTGCGCCGCGGCTGGGAGGCCTTCGTCGCCAACCTCTACAGCGTCACGCTCTCACCGGTGAACTCCTCGCCATCGTCGTCTTCACCGTCGTCGAAGAAGAAGCACCAGCACAATTCAGTGTTAGCAGAATTTCAATAGAAATGGAGATAGAGATGGACAATGAAGCTTGAGGCTTCTTAACTTTTAATAATATCAGGGTCATGCAGCGCAACGACTGCTGCAAAGTATCGGACAATCCTGCCTGTATAACATTTACCACATGACGTGTCTGAGTCATCACCTCAGGAATATTAATCAATTATGTAACTTACTGGGTCTTGATTACTCAGCTGAACCTTTATCGCCTTATTAGGATGCACCTTAGTCAGGACACAAACTGCAGGGATCCACTTTAGCTCGATGGGCTGCTGGTTTTACAGTGAAGTCTATGAGACTGGCCTGAACAGAAATCCCTGGTCTTTATGTGACTGAGTTCAGCAGCTGCTCGTCCCCTTCTGATCTCCAGTTTTAGTCAAGTAAGAGCATTTTAGCTCTTAATATCCAGTTCGTTACTAAGAGCTCGCAGTGCAAATGATCTCTGCTTCCTTTGGTTTAGCGCTGTGAAACTCCTCGAGTGTTGATGTGTAACCAAAGGGGGTGGAAAGTTTAAAACGTAGCAGCTGACTGATGGACTTTAGCTGTGGAGTAATACATACTTCTGTAGGATTAACCGTGGTGCTCGTTGCCTAATCAGACAAGCTATTTATGAGTAAATAGTATGCAGTAAATCAGTAATTAAACTTTATTAGGGATTCACATTATTATGGACACATTCTATTATTTATGTAGGCTTTATTGCAAGTGAAAAAGACGGACAGGGTCCAACCTTGTGCAAAGGAATATGTAAGAGTTTCTATTACAGCTTTTTAGCTTTTTCCTCATGAGGTTCCTGCGTGTGTTCTAGTGAAGGTTATTAAACCTGAAGGGACAGAGCAGGGAGGTGTAAGCTTAGATGTCCGTCCAGAAAAAGATAATGCTTATTTTTGGTCAAAAAAGTCATATTAAATAGTGCATATTTTCTCTATTTGAATGCAAAGTTGTGTCTTTTTCATGTGTTTGATTTGTACAACTGACGACTGTATTTAAGAACTATTAATAATGGACGTTTGTAGATGTGACAAAAATGCAATAAATGGTCTTTAATTTTCAAACATTCATTCATCTATTTTTTTTATTGCCCTTATCCACTTCACAGATACTGAACCAATTTTTTCAGTGGTGCCACTAAAAATAAATATTTACTGTTCCGGTAACAAAAAAAAATCTCTGCAACTCTCCGTGTGGTCAACAACAGACACACATTATGCCCCTATCGTGGACTAAACCAATCAGAGATAGTCAGGG